CATAAGCTGCGGTCTTCTGAAACGTTCTAGCCAATTTGAAGGCATACTCCCGTAGATTGAGTTGAATACACAACACCCTGGGTAAGCAAATCTCGCACAGCAAATCACATGAATACGTGAAGACAATGTTACACATGCAGTATTCATAAAATACATCGACTAACGCTGGTAAATGGAAAGGATACTAGTCTTTCATTCGACCGAATGACTGCTCTCGTGAACGAACTATATTAGTCTTCACACCTGCATTTCCTGAGGGCAAAAAGAGAGTATAAGGGACAAGGAGATGCTCAACTACTACCGAGAGGAATCGATGATACATTCGCGATATTTGAGAGCTCCGATCCTTAATCTTGGACAGTATGTCGGCTCTCTTGTATCCAAGAAGTTCCTATGTATGGGTATAGGGAATATTGTCACACCAGTCTAACAGCCTCACCAGCTTGGAAATAGCGTCCTCTTCAGTCAACTTGCTCGGTAAAATATCCGAGAGACCTCGGTGATGCGAAGTCGATGGTGGTTCAACACTAGAAGGGGTCACGTCTGACGGAGCTACAAGTCAAGCATTAGCCGGCGGTGGCGATGACCTACTCATGCCTCGAAACGCCTTTCGCTCTTCGCTCGTGGTTTTTTTCCGCGTAGGAGTCCCTGTAATGGCTCGTAGCTCTCTCACTACTACGAAGAGCATTGAAACCTACATGTGGTGGTGAAGCTTCCGAATCCGCCGCCAGTGGCGCAAGTAGTCGATGCATTAGTTTCAACACCGCCGCTGGTACAGAGCAAACTGCTGCTCTCTTCAGGATCGAGATCATCGGTGAGGAGATGCTGAAGCCAATCTGCATGTACGACATCCTGAGAAGCGATATTTCACACCCCACATGATGGCGCCAGGATGCTTACGTGAATGGCCGGTCGCTTATCAGCGTCTCTCCGCAGTAGCCGGCAAATGAGCGATTGGGCTTTGTGGGAAATGTGGCTTGGCACATCGAACACTCCTCTAGCAATCTTCCTATATAACTCCTTGTCAGTGGACCCCTGAGCGAGACAAAGGCATCGACTTCGTAAAGTATATCCACGAGGGATACCTTGAAGGGAAAACACCCAGCCAGGAACGTGTGAAGAAGGATGCCCAGAGCCCAGATGTCCGCGCAACTCCCGTGAAATTCTCGCTTCTGCACTATCTCGGGCGCCATATACGACGGAGTTCCACAAAAAACCTGAAATGCCAAGATTAAGCCCGGCAAACGGGGAAGGAAAGACTTACTTTTATTTTCTTTCCCGGCGGAACGATTGTACTAAAACCGAAATCTATGATCTTGATCTGGGGACCGGAAACGTGGTAGGTGCAGTCAGAGCTCGGGAGCTTTCCATTGGTTTGAACCTGACATTTGCTGGGATGATGGATGAACGCTAGACACGTCAGAAAAATCTTCGTGGGTGTGTAGCTCAGCGGTAGAGCGGCTGACTGCAGATCAGCAGGTCCTCGGTTCAAATCCGGGCGCGCCCTTTTCTATGCTATTTTATTCTGCTCTAGTTCGGCTTAGTGAAGCATCGTGCAGCTCACTTGTGGGTGGAAAGGCGAATGTTTCGGCTTCGTGATGAGACCTCTTGTGTCGACTCCTGGTCGGGACGTTGAGGACTTCCCACGGCCAAATGCTAACGCTGCCGGGCCACCGAAGGACTCATAAGTATTGCCAACAATGAGTATGTTCTCGAGTTTCAAGTCTCTGAATGAAGAACCAAGATATCCAATCACGAGTATCATTTTCATGTTATCCTCCCCACCTGTGAACAATGCATCTATCATGCATGTATTTGACACCCTGTGCGACCTGCAAGAATATTTTCCCAGCAGTGGCCTCATCAAGTCGTCGACCAGGTTTTCGCTTCAGCAGAGCATGCAGGGAACCGCCACCAGCATATCTAACACTACAGCCCTGATATAACAGCCACAGCGGACGAACCTACTCGGTGACGATGAAGATTTGCCGAGTAGAGTCCAAAGCATCGTGGAAATGAATAATGTTGGGATGCGACATCCGCTCCAGCAGCTTGATTTCCCGCTTAACACCCTTCCGTTTCTGTGGGTCCAATAGCTTTATTTTATCATATACCTAGCAAATGCACTCTGAGTACAGTCATAAGGCGGCTCGTCAGTGTTCACCTTCATCGCCACATTCGTCCCGGTAGGCATGTGATGTGCCAGTCGAACCGTAGCATACGCTCCCTTGCCCACCGATCTCCCAAGCTGACAGCCGACGGTTGAAATTTATAGACAACACACTATCCTCTCACCTGATAATCCTCGAGCTTTGTACCGAGCTTACCCACACCTCTCTTATGATGCCGCCTCGTCTCCCCCTCTGTTGGTGATTGGGCCGTATGGACGTTCTCCCCG